TGTAATTATTAACCAATCAAATTACATGTTATTTTACAATATTACACTAAAAACAAAAGCCTCAAAAAAAGTTTATATGAATCAGTAAAAATACTAATTATATATATATAAAAGATAAACAACTACTAAAACAACCAGAACTTACTAAATCTAACTACAGAACTATCTAAGAATCCAAGCTTATATCTACAATTTATAAACCTAAACCTAAAAACCAACCCAACTTAAGAGTGCTTTAACCCTAAATTTCTAATTGCTAACACCACTAACAAGCTTATTCTACTTCAAAAATCAAATCTGAAATTCTGATCTCTAAAAAAAACCTGCTATTTGTTAGTAACTTTTTTTAGTATGTATTAAAATTCAAGCAAACTCTTTTTTTTTTTTAGGCTATTTGAAATTAAAATTTTGTCTAATGTTCTCTCCTCTCTACTTCAAAGACCCTCCTAAAATTAAACAGGCCAATCAAAATGTTCATTATACTTTGAAATTCAACTACCCCAGGATCGCTACCAAAATTTTCATACCCACGTGATTTTTTGTGCTACAAGCCAATCAGATCTCAAGATCAGGTATAACATAACATGATCAGAAAAATTTAAAACATTTGCTTTGTAAAAAATCATTAAAAATTGCTTACAACTCAAAAATCTGCATAGGAAACACCTTTAGTGTAATAACAAAAAGTTTTTCTTAAACAATTTTATTATTAAAACTCTTTTAATCCTAACTCTAGTATAGACCCTAACTCTAACCTAACGAATTTAAAGATTTTTTGTATACTGCAAATATGGTCACATGTCCATGAATTTTTGGTGAAGATACTGGAGAAAATTTAAAAACAGTTACATATTATAAACTAACCAATAATAATGTGATTATTTTTGCAATATAACCAGGGTTGGTATGAACCAATCAATGGTCAAGCTTGACCAAACCAGTTTAACCAATTTGGCCAGTTGGTCAAAGGGTTTAGTATTGGTCAAAAGGTATTTAAATATATAGTATAGTTAGACCTCTCTAAATACATATTGCCAAGACCAGCTCTAAAGCATGCATTTAGGAAGGGTTGCAATTGAAAAACACTAATAAAATCACAATACGCTATTATCATATGATAAATATAGCTTTAGTCAGGGATAGTGAATAATATCGATTTGTATTAATCAAATATAAAATGATATTTTTAGGCTAAATTATGGGAAAATTGATATTTTTGCAAATTTTAATGCAGTTTAACAATATGTATTTGGGCAAAATTAAAAGTATAATTCGGGCCAGCAATATAAATTTGGCCAACTTGAACCATCAATAAGTTTCGGTAAAGTAGACAATTAATAAACATGCCAGAAGAAGAGAAAATTTTCAGTTACCAATCACATTATATCACATTATTTGTGACAATTATACAAAATTTTGATATATCGATATAAATCAATATTTTTAACCATACTGATTGATATTTTTGCAAAATCAAATTGATATTATTCACCGTCCCTGGCTTTAGTAGCCTATAAATAATGGATTTGATTGGCTGATAGTCACGTGTATACACTTATGAAGAGAGTTTTTATAAACAGGCCAGACAATTAGCATGCACTTACAGAATAAAGAACGTGCATTTATCTATAAGTCCCACCATGGGCCCGGGCTTATATCATGCATTTAGAGGGGTGCTGCATTTAGGAAGAGTGCATTTAGGGGGTCTGACTGTATATATACACATATAAATTTATATATATATATTTACTTTGTATACTAAATTTATTATTTAATAGACTAGGCCATTTGACCAATTTGACCAGACCACTTGACCAATTTGATCAGACCAGTTTGACCAACCAATTTTTGGTCAACCAGTAATTTGACCAACCCTGGATATAACATAATGTTTGTTTAAATTGATACCCCTCCCCCACTCGCTTAAACTTCAAAAAGGAACGTTAAACGAAATTACAATTTCAAACAGCCTTATCTAGTTCAGAAAGTTGCGTCTAAGCTAACACAACTTAAATTTAAGATTATTTAAGATTATTTTTAAAGGTGGTCTTCTGGCACTAAAACGAAGCGAATTGTGTAAAAAAATTTTTTTCACATTAGTGAAACGTTGCATTTCTCAAAAACTACTTTAAAGTGTGTAAATAAATTACCCGGGCAATTGATCTACATCAGCCAATCAATCATATGAATGTCGTCCTATGAATTATAAGGACGAAAAGTTTAGCTAATGCATTTTGCATGAAAGCTACATTGACTTCTCTAGATCTAGAATTAGGATACTTTGGGCGATTTAAATTTGTATTACGATAATTTTTGCTTTGAGCGATTTAAATTTGTATTGGGATGATAGTGTCACGTTAAATTATAATTTTAATAAATCTTTATAATTTATTTAAATAAAGGTTTTTATAAAATATCGCCATAAACCACGTGACTATAATCTCATCGCGAAAAAAATACAAATTATATAAAACTACCCTAACCTTAACCGCTAACTTAATCGCTCACCCTAACCTTAACTAATCCCAGACTAAATTAACCCATCGTTAATCGTGAAGAGATAACATCCGACGATGCTTAACGATAATAACATAAACACACGACGATTTCGGAAAAGAATAAAACACCACCAACGAACCATGACTGCAAAAACCGTATATGATTCAAAAAATAGTGATACTGGATCACTAACGAACAACGAATTATGATGGCAATACCGAATACAATTTCATCAACAAGCAGCGAAACGATAATCCAGCGACACGGTTAAAAAAAGGCTGGTCAATAAGGAAACGAAGTAATATAAAAAAAGAAAAAAAAAAGTACCAGTATAACGAAGCACCGAATGCAACTCAACCAGCGAATGACCACGATTCCATAAATAGCGATACTAATATAACTTCACCAGCAACAACGAACAGCGATCCAACGACACGATTAAACAAAAAAAGGGATAGTTAGTAAAGGAAAGAAAAGACAACATAACAAAAAAAAGCTGTGTAGAAGCACCAAATGCGACTCAACCAGCGAATGACTATGATCCTATAAACCCAATACAGGATATAACTTCACCAGCAACGACGAAACGGTAATCCAATGACACGATTAAAAAAAAAAAAGACTAGTTAGTAAAGAAAGAAAAGGCATCATAACAAAAAAAAAAAAGAAGCTATGTCGAAGCACCAAATGCGACTCAACTAGCGAATGACTATGATCCCATAAACAGTGATACAGGATATAACTTCACCAGTAACGACGAAACGGTAATCCAACGACACGATTAAGAAAAAAAAAAAGACTAGTTAGTAAAGAAAAGGCAATATACCAAAAAAAAAAAGAAGCTATGTCAAACCACCAAATGTGACTTTACCAGCAAGCAACAACGACTATTGGAAACAGCGATACAGGATACAACTCCACAGCAACGATGAAATGGCAATCCAACGACGTGACTTTACCAGTGAATGATGCACTGGGAACAACGTTACAGAATACAACTCCACCAGCAACGACGAAATGCAACAACGCGATTAAAAAGAAGACTGGGTAGTAAAGAAAAAGCAATATAACAATGAAGTACAAAAAAATGCGACTCCGCCAGCACTTTCTGATAGAGAGGTACCATTATCTATATAGCATAGAAAATTTTCTCTTATAAGTATGTGAAAAAATGCCGGCTTTTCCCACGTACTACGCAGCTAAAACAAGCAAAGGCTCTACTATGTTCACACCCAATTTCTCCTCGAAAATTAGGAGACAGAACCTTCTTTAAGTTAGCGATTTATTGTGGCAGATCAATAAAAAGTAACCTAAAGGGCTTGATATTAGCTAAAACAAACAAAGGCTCAATGTTCATACCCAATTTTTTCTCGAAAATTAGGAGAGATCCTTCTTTAAATTACGATTTATTCTTGCTGCCCATAAAAAGTAACTTAAAGAGCTTAGTTTTAGCTGAAAATATAACTACCTTTTATTGTAGCCTTCGTTGATTTCACGGAGTCATACTTTTGGAATCTTTGTTTCGATTTACTTTTGCTAGTCCAATTCGTGTAAACAAATATAGTTACGCAGATCATATCAGTAATCATATCAATTTATTAAACGTAGATCTCATCTCTGATTGGTTAATATGTCGGTAAAGTTTTGCATTTTCCGGATGTAACGCCGCGTGTATATATTTGCGTATTCGTGTAACAAAAACACATATTTACGCGTTTGTGTAGAATACGTAATTAGAATCATCATTATGCTAATTTTTCTTAATTGGTTCTTGGAACAAAAGATATCGGTTTGAAATGGCGCAAAACTAAATTTGATAGGTAAAAGGCATATTAGAGTATGAGAAAGATTTGTGGAGTATTTAGGGAAATATATTACAATCAGTAGTAGGGATGGGCAATTATATGATACCCTCCGTCGGCAAATGTTCCTCTCGGGGGTGGTGACAATAGTTCTTTTTTATGATAAAACTAGACAGAGTTTTGAATTACCTTACTTTTTTACTTATGGATTTTTGAATATGGAAAAAAACAAAACCCGTATAATAAAAATGATATAATAACTGTATTATAATTTAAAAAAATACTGTATACAGTAATTGGTATAATATTTTTGTGTAGCAAAGTTAGCCAATAGAAATCTAGATTAATTTTCATGAACACATGTGACAAATCTTTATATATTATATAAGATTATTATTGTAGTAGAGTGTTTTTATCCTAGAGGGTACAGAAGCTTATCCTATGTCATCTAAAAATGATTGGTTAAAAAATGTTACTATTTTTTTAAATTTGAGCGAAGATATAGTATATTTTTATTAATATACTAGTTGTAAACCCATGCAATAATGCACAGGAATAAAATATATTAAAATTTAAATATAATAATATAAAAATTAAATTAAAATTGATTTATTTGTAGCTATAGCTACTGCTAGTTTGGTCTGACTTTATAAATTAAGTTTTAATCTAGACTCAGTTCTAAGTTAGACTTGGAACCAAGTTCTAATAATCTTATACAACATTAGATATTATAAAACTATTATTAAACCACCTACTAAAAAATTTTTATCAAATGCAGTATAAGTATACATTATTGGGCAAAAATTTGTGAATAACGGCAATTTGGCTTAACCAGACAAATAATATTGGCTGTCAAGTGCCGCAAAGTGGCACTTGTCAGCCAATCATTTGTCTGGTTGAGCCAAATTGTTGTTATTCACAAATTTGCCCAATAATGGTATTTGATAATTTATAATCATAATTAGTAGGGAGTCACTCGCTGAGTTTGTTTTTTTTTGAACATAATTACATCATAACACATGAAAAAAAATAACAGAAAGAAAGTTTTTCATGATCATAAGAGTTTGTCAGATAATATCTAATATTGCATATAACTACTATAAGATTACTAAAACTTGGTTCCAAGTCTAACTTGGAACCAAGTCTAGATTAAAACTTGACTTATAAAGTCAAGCCAAACCAGACCAGACTTTTAATATCTCTATATAGCTATATAAGTGCTGCTAAGAGAAAGAGTCAATTGGACTTTAAATATATTTTGTATATAGTTAGCTATCTATAGAAAATTTATCATTATAATAAATTATTTATAAATATATAAAATAGGCTCTTCTATAGAATAGCGTGTACGGGTATGCGTGATATCTAATTTTGGATAAACACATCCAATCAAACCTTATTCGGATCAGATCATCATTGTAATCGTGGTAACAAGTGTGTACTACGATACGTATTTG